GTTGGTGTAGTGGTAGCCAGGTCGAGCCAGCAGGCGACAGTTGCAGAAGACTGGCGTGGATTCGCGGCTGTACGCGCGTCCGAGACAGTCCGTAAACGTCGATGGCTGTCCTTACTCGAATCACCGACCGGCGCTTCCAGCCCTGACGAAGGCGCGAAACTGGAGACGGAAGTCCGCGACTGCGAAAGTTGGCTTTCCTGGAGGTCTCTCTGTAAACGTTTGGTGAGTTCAGTGAGTCTTGCAACTTCTGCCTCGGCTTCTTTGAGGCGCTGTTCCAGTTCTTTCATCTCTTTGACCGGAGGACTTTCAAGGACAGGCTCGAAGATGGCAAAGACTTCGCGCAGAACAGAACTCACCTCGGCGGAATTGCAGGCAGAGGGCTGAGGAGGCTGGCTGGAGTCTTTACGTAGCTTCTGTTTTGCCAGAAGGCCTTCCAAGGCCGCAAATTTGTCTGAAACGTGGCTGGAGACTATGGCAGCGTTGCAAATAGCTTCAGCGAAGCCAAACACCTCAGAGCAACCGGGGCAGCTTGTATTCCACTTTGAAGGTTGGTTGGAATGCTGGCTGAGTCTGCGTTGACCCTCGAGCACAGCCGAAACCACCTCTTTTGTGGCCCGGGATTGACCAGAGGCTTGCTTGAGGTGCTTTGTGGTTTCGGCCACGCGCGCCCTAATATTTTGCAGCTGTATACTAAGATCTGCTTCCTTCGACTCATATTTGTCCCATAAATCACCATAAGCTAGTGTCAGCGATCGGTTCTTGTTCACAAGTTTGCCAATGATCTCGTCTCGTGCTTTTATTTCCAAATCCAAGTCCTCAATCTGAAAAGGCAAAGAAATGGAATTAGTAGGAATCTGGTAAGTTGGACCCACTGAGTTAACCTAACTGCAGCAGGAAACAGTGGCACACAGAAAGGTTGCAAGAGGCACATGCTAACATTTTCATAGACCGCAAGATGGCTCGCAAATACCACTTTGGGCGGGAATGCGCTCATTCTCAGGATCACTCATCTTACAGAAAGACCATGAGTGTAACTCACGCCGCTGTCATGAGAGCGCACGCCGTGGCTATCGATTTTTCGTCTTAGCTGATTGGTTCCTTTTCTCTGACGCCTACTCATGAGCGGACTGAATAAATACCCCACAGCCTTTTTGTAAAAGTGACGTGTTCTTTGTGAATAACCTTCTCCTCGACCGATTGGCTTCTCTTCTCCCCTCCTGCAGGCGCTCGGGACTACAGGCGGGCTAGCTCAGAGTTCGTGCCAATTTCAAGTACCAGGCGTGGGTCCTAACAGTTAAAGAGTTCAAAACTATTTGGGGATTGAAAGGTCAACAAACGAGGTTTCGTTCTTAAAATGATCAGTTGCCAGATAGCAATCCGCATAGGGCACAAATCTGGTAAAATGTCAGGGGGAGGATGGGAAGAACCACGAAGTTAACGTCTCCCTGTAGTTACCGTGCGCATATCGTTTTAAACTAGTACGGATTTTGCAGCAGGGCCAAACATCACAGCTATTGCCGAAAAATTAGATAAAAAGGATCCACTTATGGACACCGACAATGACTAGTCTGAGGCGTCGAATATGTCTTTTGCGTGGATATAGACCGTAATGAAGATAGCAATCAGCGGCCCAGATACTTTTTTTCTGCAAGTATACCTCACCAATGACGTCTCTTAAATTCAGCATGACCACGACTTGCGTCTACCTACAGAAATTACAATGCTGTCAAATCTGTCGCATTAAAATGCGGTTTGTTACTTCACAACAGGAATTTGAGAATGGTCTTTGTTAGGCTAAGACCGATCAAGTACCTTTTTGGACGTCGTGGAGGTCAGTAGGTGCATTTAACTAAACAATATCCCCTAAGAAGCAGGCATTGTTCTTTCGAAAAATGCACCAGGAGTCCAGCATAAGTATGTTCTCAGGAAGTAACCGGTTGGAAATTGAGAAATGATTCCGTTTAATGATAGTAATTCGGAAACATTTAAATTATTCTGCCTAAATATTTGCGTTGTCTAGGCTCTGTAGATTTATTTGCCCACAACAATTCCAACTGAAGTCCAAAGTCCTAGGTTTAGGATGCATTCTAACAATGACAGCTTATAAATAATAGCATGCGCTAAAAGACGTTATGTGTACTGGGAGAAGATAGTCTTGAAGAGTATGTGAATTGCTGAAAGCTAAATTAGGAAGTATCGAACACATACAAATAGTAATAACCAAGAATTAGAATCTAACTTTCGCTAAATCATTTTCTTTACAAAAGTAATCAGATTCATAGTAAAAAAACGTCAATTTCTGTTATTGCAGGTGTCTGGGGAAGACGGTAGGAAATTGAGGGTTAAGTTATGTCGCAGATTTGTCAGTACTTCAGATCTAACCGACAAACGAGAAGTTTTTGATTAACTTGATACTTCAAGGATATAATTCGATCACTCTAAATGGATTCTAAACAGGTGTTACAATACCCGTTAGCTATTTGAGAAGCGAAGTTATCGCTTCTTCGGGGTTTTGCTTTCAAAATGGGAATTTTCGAGGTTATCGATTCAGCAAATGCATTTCTCTGGTGAATGAGAAAGTACTACAATTATGAAGACAGGACCGCCAATCGTTCGATAAAGTGTAAGCCATCCTGCTTTACCGTTTTAATCGATTTGTCTAAAGATCAGCTTGGAGGTCTATAATTTCCTCGTACTTTACCAACCCTATATAAAGTATCTAGCCTCTTCCGATATAACATATAGAAGAAAAGCACCGCAAGCCAACGTCGTGAAAGGTTCTTGTATAATTTGCATATGACGTAGATAAGGACTGTACTTGACACACAGGAACAAATAACTTAGGGGACTAAATAAATTACTTCGCACAAAAGCGACGTGTGGCTACTGGGAATTATGAACAGGTAGCAGTTAATTGTCGATAGGAAAGTGCATATTACCCGATACAAATATTACGAAAGATTTTCTGCAGCAGACTTGGCACTCTCAGAGAGCCTGACTAATTTTTCACAAGCCGTACCCATTTCATATACATGTACCTTTTCCATTAAACACGAACAGAGCTTACAGAGTCCGATGCATCTTATCAAATTTTCAGACGATAAATAAAAGGGAGACGTACAAGTTTTAAAGCACAATAAATTGGGCCAATCAACGGAACGAGGTCTTTTTCGTTTGCAATTATTTTCTAGTATTTTAACCGTTTAACTACTTAATGTTCCCCGTGGTGACTCGTCTGCGTTCTGCAGAACGCATTTGCGAATGAAGGATTGGGCTATCAAAACTATTTGTTATGTTTCCCGGTTGTTCGGACAAAAGTGATAGCATCAACAGTCAGAATGTCATTTCTGCTATTCAAAATGCTTAAATGCAGTCGCTTATTTGTAGTCTAAGGCATGTTTATTTCAAACGATGGGAAACTTGATGTTTCTTCTTATATTTCGGACTTTTTAGTATGCAAATAATAAACATGAGCTAAAATCGGAACATGCTTGGTACTTTAGCCTAAGATAGTAGCAAAAATGACTAAAATGCGAAAACTCCTTAAAATCTGCCCTCTTGACTTCTTCGAAAGTTTTTTTAAAGAAAACAGGCGACTGATGTGGCTGTTGCGGGGATCGGTCTATTACTAAATGGGACCTATGTAGATGTAATAGCGTCCTTAATAGACCAGGAGTGAAAAAGATTGAAAGCGAAATTTTTACACAAACTGTAGCATCTAAGTTGAGCTTTTAGTAAGTACAAGGCGATTATACATGACAGTGGAAAATGGAATGAAATCATAATTCAAAATGTAATTTTTATGCACAAACTATCTAAATTAATATTAAATATCCAACTCATCTACAAACTGCTGGTGAAAGGCCGCAACATTGAGTTCATCGGATATATGGGGGTGATAACATAAAAATATAGGGAATAGGTCGCGAAGAGTATGATCTGCTACCACTCACTAAAGTAGTCTAGTACGAATAAGTGATCTCACAGCCGTAGTCTGAAGGAAATGATTAAAAGCGCTTGACCGTGGGGTCTGATACCTGACTACATAGCAGTCATATTGAACCCTGGCTCTTAGGTCCTAACAAGGCATAAATATGAAAAACTATAAAGCAAACTTCGGCCCTACAGTACCTTAAGATTATACCAGTAACAGCGGATTCAAGTAAGGGATAACAATGCAAATGTACTACCCTTGAGGGTTTAAGAAATCGAACGTGGAGAAAGATCTCTAATTGTATCCGACTACTGCGAATTCTGTTCACTGGCATGTTCCCGTCTTAAGCATTGCGTAAGAATGGGACAAATAGGTCTTTCCTCTAGTCTACGGACCAGAATATCGCTTATTTTCGTTTAAACTTTTCATAATACTAAAGCTTTTGCAGTAAACATAGCGCGATACACTTCTTTAGTAGATCAAACCGTAAAAAAAATCGTGCGTGGAGACTGAGAGGGATCAGGTCATCTACTGAAATTCCAGCTGCTGGCCTAGCTGCTTGGATGGGGTGAGTGAGGACAAACAGCTTAGCCAGCAGTTGGGATTTAAACAGACAATCCAATTTAGCCCGGTCCCACGAGGTTACATGTTTGTACGACTGTTTTGCAGCTTTATATAAGCATGACGCGTACACACGCTATCTGTACTGCAGAATAAGATGCAATGTTATTGACCATTTAGGGTACATATAAAAGGCGAGCTGTCCTATGAACTGAGTTATGGCTTCCTTCACCTCAATTTCACCCAATCCCTAAGATGAGATGTGTGTTAGTAGGGTTGTGACATAAAGTTATCAGGGTTAGATAGCAGATAAAAGGCTATCATAAATAGAACTCACTTCCTTGAAGTGAATATCATATTCTGCTGGTTCTTTCTTTTCCGGTTGACTGGAACATGACCTGGTCCGAGGGGCCGGTTTTCGCGTCAAACCACGGCGCCGAGGGGACGGTTTACTTACGCGAGGGTCCTTTGCTAACTTGCGCGAATAACTCGGATGTGGTGAATGTCTTGTGCCAGAACAAGAACGAATACGGTGTGAGTGCTCCGGT